TCTTGGGTGGCATTGAATATATATTTAAGGTACATACTTTGATAGGCATTCACGCACAATGTCACAAAAGGTAGGAAGGAACACATCTACACTGTGAAAGACACGAGGTCCGTTCGATTCGCCTGCACCACGTGAACCAGTTCACGAAGTTCTGCACTTTGCCATTCCTTTCAGCGGTGCAGCATTGACGACCTCTGAACCCTGCCATTCGTTTCGAAAGGTGCAGAAAAGGTGCAGCACTGGTTCACAATTTTCTTGCACCTCCTACGCTGACGGTGCCGGCTTGGTGCAGCCGTGCGTGCAGATGAGCAGACGACGCAGCACTTAGGCGTAGGTGGCTTAGGCGCCGTACCCACCTCTACAAAGGCGGTGTGTTTTTTTCAAGATGTTTGCGCCTCATAAACTGTCCGCGTGTGCGTTTCGCCATAGGTCGGTGTTTGCTGAATGGTGTAAATTAACTGAAAAGAAATAAGGCCAACACCTTGTCGGCACATTGTCATTTGTTTCGGGTGTCGTGCTGTGCCTGCACCGCTGAACTCACGCTGCACAATTTCTGAACTTCGCGTGCACAGTCGTGAACCAGTTCCGACTGGTGCAAATGAATCGAACGGACCTACTATAACACTCAAATTCCTCAAAAGATGAGGCTTCGCTGTTCCACAAGATATGGTCAGCACACTCGGAGCTAGTTCATACCATCTTGCTTTAATAAACTACCCGCGAGTGTTTTTCGTACTAAATCAAAAGTCATACTGAAGCAACTTCTTCATTGCATTAATCTTAAGCTCCTTGGTTATACTTGTTCTTTTTCTCGGGTACATGCATCATCGGTATCAGAACCTAAAGTTGCGTTTTTTTTTTTCTCTATCTACCCCCTCTTTTTTGCCTCTACTTCCCCGCCCCCAGCGCTGGGTAGCAAACCAGATGCCAATATCTGGTTAACCTCCCGGCCTTTCCTTTCTCTCTCTCTCTCTTGTAAAGGTTGCCATGTTGCATCAGGTTATGCGTTGCCGTTGGTGTACTAAAGGAACTATAATTATTGTTTTTCTTATTTTTTTCTCTCTTTACTCAGCACGCATTATAACGATGTTATAATGATTTGTCATGTTTATTGTTTTTTTCCTCTACTTTGCATCATCAAATATTTAATGATGTTTTATTAGTGTATGATCAAATGTCAAGCTAGGTGATGCTACTTGTCTTAGTATCAGTTTTATTTTTTCTTGCATTGCTGTACTAGCACGTCTTTATTTTGTATACATATGCAAAAAAAAAAAAGTGTCTGCGTCTATGTGGTTATATATATCAAGACTTGTGGTGTGCTGTCTGTCGCCTCTGCCCTTCAAGCCCAAGTAGGCTTTGGCAAACCAATTTTGTATTTCTGTGATGCTTTTTCAAAATGATATTGAAAGATTAATATTGTTATTAATAATAATATTGATATAATATACTAGTTAGAGTGTCCATTACTGAAGTGTTATGAACATAAGAAATTTTAAAGCAGTTTTGATATCAGGTCTTTAAGGAGAACACTCCAAGTTTGAGGTGACTTGAACAGGTTTATGGTCAGAAAACCTTTCGACGGCCTCTTATTTTACACCGTAAGATATGAGCACGGAGCCCCATAACGAGCTTAGTCCGCAGCCGAATTTTTTTCATATAATCTCGTAAAACTGCAAAAAGTAATATATGCAGATACAGCCGCTCCTGAAAAAAAGTTATGTGTTTATTATAGCATGTATAGCAGGGAACATGAGCCGTTCGCTGAAGAATGCAGAAATATTGCACGCGAGCACTCGCCACCACGCCGTTATAATCAAAATTCACAGTTGTAGATCGAGCCATGCAGCCTCCTACCTCAGCGTCTCTTCATACTCCTTCCAGCAAAAGACAAACAGGGCTTCCTTTCTGTTTTAAGGAGCAATCTAGGGCAGGTATCTCAGGTGGAGGGATGCATTGCATATGCCCTCCATACGATGTAGATGGGCAGTTCATTTCATCTCTGCTTCAGCAGTGTTTTTTGCTAGCGTTCGCGAAATTTTATCCATGGGAATAGCATATAGTATGCGTAGGAAAGTTATTGATTGGACTTTGCTCAAAACATGACAGAGACGGTGACAGCCTGTAGAAAGTGTTCATATGATTCTTCTTGCAATAAAAAAAATATACAAAGACCCTCGAAGCAGGCTGGCCTTTTTTATGCATCGCCTTTGCTATAAAGAATTATTTGTCGGGAGAATGAAGTTATCTGGAGCCTATTCCTTTGGTTTTGTTCTCTATTACACTCCCTTCAGCACATTTCTTACAGGCTATAACTCTTTGACATTTATGCACAGCCATTTTATCCACAGACATTTATGATGTCATAGAGCACGATTGCGACGTGAGCTCTCAGCCTGGTTTCTGACCTTTTTTTTTTGTATGCTACTCCCTGTTATTTCTACTCGTGCAGTCGGAAACTCCCAACATACACTGTAATCACAAGTTCGTTACCTGGGAATACCATGCGAGATGTGAGGAAGAACGGGCGGGGAGGGGGTGAATGTATGGTAAAGCAGGGTAGAAAACAAATTACAACTGGTATTTCTCGTATAAGGACCATTCGGGAGTATGTGCCCTAATCATGTCATGTGAATCACTTTTGTGGCGTCACAAAGAGCGCCAAAACATCGAGACACTACAAAAGAGTATAACACTCTTTGTTTATCATCAGAAACTGTTTCGAAGTCATATATAGACAGGGCATGCAAACATGAACACAGAAGAGCAGCCGAGACACCACAAACGCTGCTCTGAAAAATCTTAAAGCTGCAGAAAAGGAAGTGATGTACTTTATGCTCAGATTCCTCGCTCGGGTTAAAATAAGACAAACGGTGGTCCGCCGCAAGTACCGCACGGCTGTGGCATGGTCTCTCCCGGAACTTCGGTGGCGGCGCGAATGGCGTCAGAAAAAACGGGTGGCGGCGCACAGCTTTACTTCTCATGAACGGAATTTCTGATGAGACAAACAAATGCTCGTGGTCCCTTTGAGTACGTCTTAAAGGGAATCTACTGTATATACTTTTTACATTTTGTTTTTGTTGCGGTTTTTTTTCATTAGTGTGTTATTTCATTAATAAAGTGGAATGCTGGGCCAGTTGGTACCATATAATGTGGAAATATAGGAGTGCACAAGGTAGAAGGAAAAGCACTTGACAGAAAAGACGCTCAGTTGAAGTAGATAAACGTATACCTTTTCTTTCGGGGGAGGGGGGGGGGGTGGAACCTTGAAGTGATAGTTGGTTGCGTCTGCGCGTTTGTGTTCTTGTGCAATGAATGTTTTCTAATAAAAGTTCAGTTGTAAGTGAGCGTCTTTCCTGTCAAGTGCTTTTCCTTCTACCTTGTGCGCCCATATATTTCCACATTGTGTTATTTCATGCTGCAAGTGATTATAGAAAATGTCGCATGACGGCATGATTTTTCTACTTCATTTCTCTAAGCAAAGCTTCATTAGTAATGTATTTTTTTATTGTCATGCCTTAGTGGGGAACTCCATTTAAATATGACCTCCTAGGATTCTTTTAACATGTATATAATTGAATGTGCAGAAACGTTTGTATCTGTGTTGTGATGCACACTCAGACCTCATAATAATACAAACTTGCATCTTACACGAAAACAAATTTGCTATAACCTAAAATTCATTATGAAGCTGTATTCCTAACACTATATTGCTAGACTATTCTTCATTTACTTGATCATAACAGATGTTTCGTTATAATATTTGGGTTAGTTATATTGAGGTTTGAGTGTACAGTCGTCGACCAATTTTCCGACCCTAGTGGGGACCGGGAAACAGTCCGAAAAATCGAGCAGTTCGAAAAAATGGTCATGTCGTGAAAGTGAAGTTTATTTGGTTTAGAAAAGCCTAAAAAATCTCCTATAATGCAATGCTTCATGCTGTTCTTGGGGATGAGCAAGTTTGGTTCTATTTGGGCTATATTGGCGATTGCTGCCGCCAGCTGGTGCTGTCAAGCAATGTTCATGGCTCGATGGAACCAAACAAACGAAACTTGATGCAGGTCCCAAAAAAGATGCATGCAATGTCTTGCCTGTTTGATTGGATTTAACAGCACAGTGTGGGCTTCTTTCACCTGCACCGACACTGCACAGTACGTAAGCCTCCGGCATTTCGCCACCATCAAAACGCTACTGTCGCGGCCAAGATCATCTGTGTGTTCCGAGTCAGTATCCGAGTACAGCGACCACGGAGTGCCACTGAGCAATGGCGAACAGCAGCGAACATGTGATGCGCACGACGGCTCACACTTGGCAGACACACAACTAACACGACTACGTGCGCAATGACGACCAGAAAAACAAACGTCCAAAAACAACATACCGGTGTATGAATGGTGATGAAAAGGCTGATTGGAAAAGAAATGTTTTGCCGTTTTGCTAGCCAAGGAAGATCAGGCATGGCCTTCAAAACAGGAAGATTGTGTGCGCTATCAATCTTGGAGGCTACACCTCTAGGCACCGCAAGCCTAACGTGACGAAACCAACAAAAAATTCAACATGGCTGCTTTCAAAATGGAGCGGCATAGCTCAAAAGAAACGATTTTGTCTGGAAAATCAAACTTCGGAATATGAATTCATCTAAAAAATCAATCGCGAAAATGCATTAGTGCAATGGGAACCTTGACGGTGCATTTGTGAAGTCCAAAATATCCAACAAAGTCTGAATTTTCAGAGTCCAAAAAATCCGTTGTCGACTCTAGTTATGAAAATAAGTCTCGGCTCCGTGAAGATCTTTACTTATGAAAATAATGTCTCTGCTCCATGAAGATCTTTTGAAATTTAGCATATGTTAGTTAGCATATGTATTGTTTAAACCTCTCTTTTTTTTTGGAGGGGGTTGGGGGGTTTTTCATGTAGTCCTATGTGACTATGTACTTTCTTCTTGCTATCGGAAAAATAATAAATTCTCTGGTGTGTTTATTTTTTTTTCTTTTTCAAAGCAGTGCTACTGTCCAGGATTCAGAATCAAGGTCTCGAAGACCAGCATTTGCACCCATATCGGAAGATGGTGCCAACAGTGGATCAGACGAAGAGTCTGATGAAGATATGTCAGCTGAAGAAAGTGATGTGGAAGAGAGTGAAGAGGAGGTAAGTAATAGTTTGTTATAATAAAAATGATGGATATTATATAATGGAGTGGTACTGATTTTGTAAAATTTTATTCAATGGTTTGTTTTTACTCTTATTTATGCAGGGGCAGAATGGGTGTGCAGCAGCAGGCGAGGCTACGTCAGACGAAGATGACGATGGAGTTGACTTGGAACATGATGAGAACCTGGAAGACTCTGGTGATGATGGTAGTGGGGATGATGATGAAGAAGGCAAGTGTGTCGCCTATTTGTTCTGCTTTTCAGCGGTCAATTGCACTGGTGGCAATGATGTTGCTGATGGTGGAGGCAATTGTATTACTTCTCTGCTTGCTCCGGGTTTCAGCATTACATGTCCAGAAGATTGGAGAGGTGCTTTTTGGTGCTCATCTTTCGAGGAATAAATTTCATGCTTCTTAATAAGTTACAATAAAACTTCTTGAGCTAGTTGGGATTGGGACCCCAAAAAATCCTTTAATTAAGTATGTTTTCAAACAATTAACTGAACATAAAAAAAAAAGATTCTGGGAACTTTGGATGATTGAAAGTAGTTAAACATTTTACTGCAAATTGTGGGAAATGATGGTTTTTTGAAGCCTCAAGGCAATGCCACATAGTTATGTTGATGATTGATAAATTAAGCATACCATCCTCATTGCTTCAAGCTTAATCACAATGCAATAAAGTAATGACGTCAACAGCCACGATGCAGCTTTGGAGCTCGTACATGAAGCCAGTTTTTCTGTGCCTGCTACCGCACGGCATGAAAACTGTCTTGTTTTGACATGACATGAAACAGTGTACTTTGATAAGCACTGATGCTGTCACATATTGCATTTGTTAAGAACAGCAAGTGTAAACACGGTGATATAGTTTAAGGCAGCAGCTGAAGCGATAGAATGACCTGTTGCTTCTCGCCAGTCACGAGAAAGCTTAGTAACATAGAGGTTAGTTTCCGGCAAGCATTTTTTTTTTTTTAGCACCCCAGTTTTCTCAAGTCTGAGCAGCATGGCACACGAAGATGTGTTTGCATTGGCAATCTTACGATGTGCCATGCATCGATAAGCACACCTGTATGCACATGCAAAGCACGCTTAGCTTTCAACATGGCAGAAATACTCATGATGACTGCTGCATGGCAGATTTACGTAAAGCATATGGACTTGCTGTATAATTGAATTGTAGACTATCAATCTTATTTTGCCGAGGCTTAACCGTGATGCCATCCCATGCATTTCGTTCCACTTGGTATTTAAGAGGAGACATGACAGTGAAAATTATTTTTGTTATATATGGATATAAATTGATGAAATTTGGTGCACAGATGTGGTTTGTTAGGCTGATATCCCAATTGATGTTAGTTGTGAGCTATCTTTTACAGTTTTTGAGTTACAAGACATTGTAGACTGGTTGTCCTCCCTGAAATGAGTAGACTCAAGTTCATCGAGATTTTCTCAAAGATCTTCCCACAATTCACAGGGGCTCATTCAGTGCTATAGAGTTTTTACAGTTGAACCACTTTATAAGAGATATTGATATTAGAGACTAGTGGATAAAAGAGACACCAGTGTGCCTACAGTAACATATGGGTTGATCAAATATTTGCATACATGGTACCCTGCTTATAAGAGACATATCATATACGTAAAAGACAAGAATTGCTGCCCAGAGCATGCCTCTTATAAAGGGGTTTAACTATATAATGTATATGTAATGTTTAAATAAGCATGCAGCAAAGAGCGTGTGTAAAATACGATCATAAAAATGTGTATGAAGGGCAGGTAAATATGGACAGCTTTATAGCTCTTACCAATGTTTCAGGATTCAAGTTTGAAAAACAAGGTGACTTTATTTATTGCAAAAATTCATAGTGATGACAAACAGCAACTATGGGAAATAGGGCTGATAAAGCGAAGCTCAATGGTAATGGAGCTCAAAACTAAGAAAATGGGACTGCGAATACGGCTTTTTGAATTTTCTGTTAGAAAAATCCAACACTATGGCTATGTGAAGAGTGTGACAACTCTTCAATAATACCACTCTTTTCACACTGAACAATGAATTATCATTTAGTTCTCAGATATTTGCCAGTGGGTTGCAATGGGACGTAACAGTATTTATTTTGATGTCTTAAGCTCTTGAGTTCGATTTGAAGTGTGTTTGCTATCTGGTTTTAGAAACATTTAGCCTTATATTGTGAAATAACCCTTCACCCAGAAGCTCATACTTCACTTGAATGAGTTCAGAACAGCACTCTCTTATGAGTGAAAAGACGTTCCTTTTCAAAAGAATTGTCATGGTGCACCTATGATGTGCAATGGCTACTTCTGTTTACGGGTGATGCTGCTATTGACTCCCTCATGTCAACATGAAGTGTTGAGTGAAAGTGCATTTTATATGGGGGTTCGTTGCAGATACTAGATTATCCTAAAATTGACCTCCTGAAGTTCTTTACCATGTACACTAAAATTTCTTTGATGTTTGCTACTAGCACTTTGTAAGTGCAGTAGTGCTAACTTAGCATTTTTATTGTACTTCATTCTAACTTGTTGATCATTACACATTGTTTTAAAGAGGCTGTTTGTTTATTACATCAATCATTAGAAACATCATCTCATGCATTGGCTTGAACTAAAATCTATTCATTGTCTACACCTTGCAGATAGGTACAAATGGAAGAAAAACATGAAGGAGAAAGCAGCAGAAGCCTTTCGTGCTCGATCCCAGAAGCAGCGGAACCTACAGTTTCTTATCTATGGAAATGGTAAGCCTCGTAATTTATATTGTTTTGAATTTGTGATAAGATTTGTTTTTGAGGTACATTCAAACCTTGTGGTAAATTAGAGCCAGAGCTACACAATTCTTACTACTGTGAATTATTTTCGAATCCCTGGTTAGTGGCCACAAGATTCAATGCATGACATGCCTGTCAACACTGAAAATGTCAACACTGTACGCTAGCACTGCTGGGGCAGTGCTTGCACTGCTGCAGCAAGGTTTTACTGTAGTATTTACTAATTGCTTACACTACTGGCAGAGTTTTTGCCTGCAACGTCTACTTTGAAAACTAAGTTCGAAAGCTTCATTAATCATGTTTCCCAACCAAAACACATCACGAATTTTGTCACACCAGCCATTATTAAATTCTTTACTTGACCTGAAAGAATGGGTGAATGGTCACATCATTACATGCTGACACAGGGAGGAGCAGGTAACATGCTGCCCACGTGTCACTACTGCGTACCTGCCAATTATACTGATTTTCCCGTAAAATGTATGAATTTCGACTGCGCTTATGATTTTACGAATCTCGCCTGAAATTTCACGAAAAATATTTCATTTCCAATAAAAAATAAAATAAAATTAGTATAATAGCGTGGCCTCCGCAATTGCTACGGCGCAATGCCGTAAGTAGTCGTGGAGTCCACAAAAACAGCGTTGTGCAATATTCTGCCACCAGGAGAGAACAATATGTATTGGTGTTATCATCACATACCTGCCAAGTCTCCCGAATTGTCTTGGTGACTCCTGGATTTTGACCGTTTCTTCCTTTTGTACGGTTGCCCTAAAGATACCTCGGAATTCCAAATTTGTGTGCGAGATCTGGCCGCATTGACAAAAATGCAGTTCAGTTTTTGTGAGCTTACCGTATTTTATTATAAACGAACTTGAGAGGCGTTAATATAGACGTGCAGTTGTCTCGGTGATTTGAAACCATGCGTGAAATTCCCCAGCCAAATTCATGTGTCCATCGCGCAAAAGTTCGAATGTTCCGAACGCTTTTCCTAATCGCGGCATGTGATATGAACTTTTGTACCGAAGTACGCGTGTTACCAGCGCATGCACTAGTCTTCTACAGTGCTGCGGTTGTCATTGCCAGAACTGCTGTGGACGAATCTGTGCGCGTGGCCAACGCTCTATCAGCCAAAGCAACACTGCTTTCCGCAAACTCTGTGGACAAAACTGCGGCAGTTGCGATCATAGATAGCATAAAACAACTTAGTTTTGAAGGCACGCAGATTGAAAACAAAACTACCGTTTGCCGCAACCACCGCGCACAAAACCGCAGTCCCGGCGATGCGATAGCAATCTACGAGCTCCGGGCACGTGGCTGACGCAGCGTTATATTAAAGGCGGTAAAGACGTAAAAAAAAAAATCTAGAAGTGCTTTGGCGTTTCTGTCCAAAGAATCTAGTAGCGAGCAAAGCCAAAGCTATGATCCACGCTTTCACAGCAGCCAGTTGCCCCGTCCCGTCTGTTCACGTGTGAAGACGTATGCGAGTTGTTCTGACTAAAATTGATTTTTTTTTGCTAGTTGCTTTGATGACCCGAAATTTCAGGAGCATTTGGGCTCTCACCTTGAGACTCTCACTTTAGTGGGAAACTGAGACAGCAACGCCGATGTTTGCATTTGCGTTTGCAACCCCCCCACCCTGTCTTGTTTTTCGTGATGTTTTTTTTTCCGTTTTTTTGTTGCCAAAAATAAGGGGAAAATAATTGAGCGCGTCTATTTGACTTATGGTGGTAAAACATGATAATGCTTGTCGTTAAAATAAATCTATCACAGCTATAAATTAAGAAAAAAAGTCGGTAGCCCCCTTCCCCGCTCAGGGGTTTTACGAATTTCTCTGTTGGCAAGTATGCTACTGTGTTGCAGTGAAGATGTCTTGTTTTCCGCAGGCTCACATTTCCATACCTGCCAACTCTCCCGAATTTTCCGGGAGACTCCCGAATTTGGACCTAATCTCCCGATTGTACAAATGTCATCTCGAATCTCCCAAAAAGTGGCCACCACAGCAGAGGCTGTTTTTTTTTTTTGCTCCCTTTTTAAGATCATGCGCGTACGTCAGCCTTTTCTGCTGCAGCAGTGGCGGTGCTGCGGAAGAGCACTCGCCAAGGCTGGCCGCGAGAAGCGCTCGCGGCCTTACCGAAAGAAGGCGAGGGAAAAGGTAGTCTCAAAGGAAAAAGATTGCGGCACTGTATGTTCACGAGCACTCCGATAACGAGACTGCGAGACTGTCGAGCACATTCCAGTTTCCAAAGGAGGGGTGGCCGGTAGACCGGCGGTAGGCGGACCCCAATGTGCCTTGCACACTCCATATCGGCGTGCTTCGGAGAAACAGCGCCGACAGCCCCGCGTGTCGCATTCTTGTTGCTCCGGCCACCGTTCAGTTCACTTGCTTCCGTTGTGCCTAGCCAGAACTTCTTCTCCATCTTGGCCCTCGGATTTTGTACGCTACGCCTACGCTGTCTGCCGTGGTTGTGGGGGTTGTGTGTTTCCAGAGTTCACTTAGAAGGTTGATGGCGGCGTCAAAATCAAAGAAGAAGTACTTGCAAGTGTTTCTGGACTCATACACAGCTGAGTTTCCGTGCTTTGTGACTTCGCGGAAAGGTGACAAGTGGGGATTCTGTACCATGTGCGCCTGTGATGTGAGCGTGTCGCACGGCGGGAAGGCCGATATAAAGGTGCATATCGCTTCACAGAAGCATCAGAACTACGTTCTTGCTGCGGAAGGGCAAGGCAACATCGGTAGCTTTTTCCAAAAGAGCTGCGAAGACAGTGCGATCCGTGCAGAATGCCTATTCACGGGATTCCTTGTGGAACACAACTTGCCGCTAAGCGTTAGTGATCACACAGGGCCGTTGTTTCGGAAAATGTTCCCGAAGTGCGAGGACGCGAAGCTTTACGGGTGCGGACGTACGAAAACCACTGCCATCGTCGGAGAAATGGCTGCACATACCGGAAACACAATGGTGGAGGCTCTGAAACGCCGTGCTTTCGCAATCGCAGTGGACGGAAGAAACAACAGCGGGTCGCAAATGTACCCAATCGTGGCAATGTACTACGTAGAGGAATCGCGAAACGTGGAAAGCCGACTGTTTTGTTTGCAGGAACTTCATGGAGAGGCCACCGGACGAAAGATTGGAAACCTCGTTCTGGACGCGCTCAAATCGCGTGGTATACCGATTGAGAACTGCATTGCATTTTCTGCCGACAATGCCAATGTGATAATCGGCAAAAAAAAAAAACTCGGCGTGGCAGCTGTGCTAAAAGAAGCCCAAGATAATTTGATAGTCGTTGGCTGCCCGTGCCACCTTATAAATCTTGCGGCCAAGAAAGGAGCCGCATGCTTACCTGCAAAATTCGACAAGGTGCTCGTGGACATCTTCTACTACCTTGAGAAGAGCGTCAAGCGGAAAGACAGGCTTGTTGAATTTCAAGGGATGCACAACACGGAGGTGCGGAAGATTTTGAAACACGTGCCAACGCAGTGGCTATCGCTTGGAAGGTGTCTCACCAGATTGCTGGAGCAGTGACAGCCCTTGGTCAGCTTCTTTTTGAACGAGACAAAGCCGAAAAGCCAGCAGCGCCCAAGCTTTCTGGGGTCGTACCAGATCTCCAAGACAGCTGCAGCTTCGGCAGATGTGCGCGACGAAGTCCAGCGAGATCACCAAAAACGGAAGGAGCCAAGAGGCAAGATTGATGCAACCCCGGCAAAGAAAGTGAAGCTTTCATCTGAAAGTTCCGGACGTGCCAGTTTGACCCGTGAGGAATGGCTTTTGTACTTCCTGACCTCTGATGTAAACTTCACTTATGGACTTTTCTTGAAGAGTGTCATCCCTGTGTTTGATAAAGTCAACGTCCAACTTCAGTCACAGGCACCTCAACTTCATCTGCTCCAGTCCCTCTTGATGCAGTTCCTAAGGAACCTTTTGGCTAGGTTTGTCAATCCCTCTGTCATTAAGGCCTGCTCTTCGCCACTGGAGGTTCCCTATCAAGATCTAAAGAACCAATAAGCCAACGAAGATCTTGTCCTCGAGAGCCGCACATTGTTGTGGAAGGACTGCGTGCCAGTGAGAAGCAGGAGTTTTTTTCTACTGTTCGGAAGTACTTTACTGTCACATGTGGCTATATACGGCACAAATTTCCACTGAAGAATGAAACCTTGAATAAAGCGGAAGTCGCTAATTTGAAGTTTTTGAACGACGCATCTTTCACAAGCCTTCGCCTCTTCGTTGAGTCCTTCCCGCAAATTCTGCCCCAGGGGAAGAATGAGTCAAGAGTAGAAGCCTTCGATGCTCTTGAAGTGGAATTTGCAGAACTGCAGGCACACCGTATTTCAGAGGACTCTAAGTGAAGAGAGGATTGATGTTCAGAGGTCTGAAGTGAGAATAATCACTAACGTTGATGTAGAAGTGAAATTTGGTAGAGTGTCAAAGGTGATGCTGCAGCTGCTTGCCATTCTACACAGCAATGCTGATTGTGAGAGGATATTTAGCATGGTTAAGAAGACGAGAACTGAATTTCGGTCTTCGCTTTCAAACAAGACTCTAGGTGACCTCCTCATGGTGAAGAGTCACCAAACTGGACGTTGTTTTGAGCAGGTGTATTCTGACAACTTTTTGAGGCTTGCGAAGTCCGCAACTGCCCGGTGCCTTCACAAGTAAAGAAGTTTGGTTCAAGTAGCAGCTCAAAATAAACATCCCTACCCCTCCCTGATGTCAGTCTCCAGTCTCAGTAACTTCTGCTATGCAACCCCACCCCCCCCCCGCTGCGGTCTCCCGAATTTTGATGCTGCGAGGTTGGCAGGTATGCATTTCAGTTGATCATGACAGTGTTTTTTTTATGTGTGTGTGTGTTGTGGTTCTTGAAATGGCGAGCACCACGCTCTTGGAGTGAACGGACACAGTCGGTACAAACTAAACAACAAATTTATTTAACTAATTTTAGAATAATATCGTCAGCCGAATAATTATAACACCAATCGTCACCAACCCGCTAACACGTCCTTACACAATATTACCGTACACTCCAGTACATGATACACACAACACACCCAAGGTGACGTTGCCAATGCTTGACTTACCACGAGGGCCCCCGACGCGCAATTCGCGTTGCCACGCACCGGGGACCCACGCTAAATAAGACCGTTCGTGGCAACCGCCACACGCAGAAGAGAACAGCTTATTTTTCGCTCGGCGCTACCAAGGCTTGTCGTTGCCTGCGCTATATCATGATGATGATGATAGTGGTGATCACCGCTCGCGTACACGCCACCTATCGCTCAAAAGTCGTGACCCCGAAATACGGCTTCTGCGCATGACACATGTGCCACAAGGCACAAACAACTTTACAGGGGGTGTCAGCACCTCTACATTCCTCCAATCTTAAATCAAACCATACCCCGAAAAACAAAGAAATCAGCTACACAAGCTCTAACAAAAAAATTACAACACATGTTGTTTCATAATGTCCGTGCACCACGGCACCACCACTGGTTGACACTGCTGCACTGTCCGGCTCGACGACTTCACCCTAGTACCGGTCCCGCAACAGCAACGTTGCCGCAACAGCAACGTTGCTGTTGCTGGCAACGTTGCGTTGCCAGCAACAGCAACGTTGAGTGCAACAACTCGATGCCACGATCCACCTAGTTGTGCCACGTGCGACAGGCGGCTGCGCAGAGCCTTAGGCCTAATGAGTCGCTCGACAACAACCGGCATCCACCCAGCACCCAGCCTAGGCGCAGAAGAGGCAGCCGCAAGAAAACATCCACTCTGTAAGGTGGCCCTATCACTCGCCGCACACAGCAGCTTACCGAGCAGTCAGGCCCCGAACGGTGTTATGACGCCCCGGTGTCGAGCCACAATACTAGACAGCAACGACACCCGGCTGGCTCCCTAAGCTGAAAAGAGATAGAAGAAGCTATTTACAGAAAATCGGACCACCCACGAGACTTTCGTACTCACTCGCTTTGGGCCTGGCCTACAATTCACATGTTCTAAGCTTTGCTCACCCCAGGATGAAGACCGCATGGCTCTCGTTCGAACTGAACAACGTTCTTGAAAACTAACAACAACAACAAAACCACTTGCTAGCAGAAAAAAAAAAACAACTCTACATGCCAACAAGTTCAAACACGCCACAATAACCGATCTCCTCGCTCTCAACAAAGAACACCACTGACGCTAGCAAAAAAGTCCCCCTAGGCCTACTCTTCCCTGGTTCCAATAAAAGCTTGTACCGAACCGCGAAAATTGTCGGCAGACGCTCCAAGAGCCCCACGTTGGGCAGCCGGTGTGGGATCTTGATATGGCGAGAGCCACGCTTCTTGAGTGAAAGGACACAGCAAACACGGTCGGTCCAAACCAAACAACACACACATTTATTTCACTGCTTTAGAACGACGATATCGTCCGCCGAATGATTGTTTAACATCAATTGTGATCAACACGCTAAGCAACCTTACACAAAATTTCCATACACTCAAACAACATAACACAAGAGCACACAAAAGGCGGCGACGCCAACGCTTAACTCACCGCGCGGGCCTACCGCAGGCAGCCCGCGGTGCCGTTCACGGCAGACCCACCGCGAGAGACAACCGATGGCGCCAAACGCCACCAGCCGAAGAGACTCGCTCAACTCTCTCGCCCGCCACCAAGGCTTGCCTTCCGTCAGGGGTCACTGCCGGCGCTACCACTCTACCAACCACGATGATGATAATAGTGGTGATCACTGCTCGCGTACACAAACTGCCACGCGGCGCAAATCACTGCCACGTGGCGCAAACAACTTTACAGGGGGTGTCAACACTCCCTCAGTATGTGAGTATTTTTGCGCCTGCCATTGTCCGGTGTTTGTGGCAAAATTAATAGCAGGCATTGCTGGGAAATATAATCCTTGGAGCCGCAAACTAGCCGACCTTGAATAGCTCGGAGATCCTTGTATCCAACTTTTTGTATATTCTATTAATTTGAAAACCTGCTCAATTCGAAGATTTCTCGCGGTGCCGGTGGCTTCGAGTTAATGGGCTTTTACTGCATTTTATTTTGAACCTGTAAAATATGGGTGTGTTAGATTCAAGTAAATACAGTTTTCTTTTTCTTTCCGCCTGATAATACCAAAAAAGCATTATAAGAGGCGGGGTCACCTTGAAATTGCTTTGTATAATCTAGGTTTTTAAAGGGACACAAACGAGAAAAGCGATTTTTCTCAGGTTAGTAAATTACTTCACAATTCCTAAACCACCGCACTTGGTATGAAAGACAACTGATAATGGAGAAAACGTGCAATAGGAAAAGGCGAATGACGATGCAACCTTGGAAGTTCCTGCACCCAAAGCAGTGATATTATAGATTTTGACAGCGTTTACTAGGTGCTACTTACAGTACTACCTCATTAATTTAAACTATTGTATTTCGAAATCATGCTGAATTCAGAATATTTCTGCCGTCCCGTATTTTGCAATGTAAGTCTGAGTGGATAATTTGAAGCGGCGGTCAGCACCAGTTCGGTTAATTCGAAAACTTTGGGTGCCATGTAGCAATTAGCGAGGCCGCGGAAACGACAACCCTTAAGAGCCATACGGCAATGCAACGTAGTGATACTAATGAGTGGCAGCTCCAGCCCCCACCCTCGCTACTTCTAGTGCAAAAACAAAAGACTAAGAAAAAGAACTCTTCGTTAACAAAAAATTTTTTTGAAACATTTTTCACCTCAACACAGTGGCTCACGCGGGCAGCATGTCGCATGTCAGCGTGTTGTAATTTGCCTATTTCTTGTGGGATTGTAATCATATTAATAAAGCACAGTTTGGCAGAATTCGTGATGTATTCGAATCTCAGATTTCCGGTTACTCTAGCAATTTGTGCCCTTGCACCACTGGCGGAGTTCTGCCTGCAATGCCTACTTTGAAAACTAAGTTCGTAAGTTTCAATGATCATGTTTTTCAGCCAAACAAAACACACTGGGAATTTTGTCATATTGACCATTATTAAATTCTTTATTTTACCAAAAGGAATGGGCAAATGCTTGCATCATGACATGCTGACGCAGTGAGGGGCAGGCGACATGCTGCCCATGTGTCACTACTGTTTTGCAGTGAAGATGTCTCAAGTCTGTTCGATTTGGCTGCACTACATGAACGAACGAGTTCACGAGGTGCTGCACCTTGCCATTAGTTTCAGCAGTGTAGCACTGACGACCTCTGAACCCTGCCGTTCGTTTTGAAAGGTGCAGCACTGGTTCATGGTTATCCTGCACCTCCTACTCTGGCGGTGCCGGCTTGGTGCAGCCGCGAATGCAGCCGAGCAGACGACGCAGCATGTTTGCGCCTCATAAGCGCAGGATGTTTGCGCCTCCAAAATGTTTGCGCCTCATAAGCTGTGCGCATGTGCTGTTTACCATCGGTCAATGTTAGTTGAACAGTGTAAATTAAGTGAACAGAAATAATGTCTGCACCTTGTCGGCACATCGTCATTCTTTTCGGGTGTCGCGCTGTGCCTGCACCGCTGAACTCGTGCTGCACAGTTTCTGAACTTAGTGGGCACATTCGTGAACCAGTTTCGATTGGTGCAGCTGAATAGAGCGGACCTCTTTTTTTTTCGCAAGCGCGCATTTCAGTTGATTGCGACAGCGTCCCTATCACCAATATCAATAATTCGATGTTCCTTGCGTCCCACCTTTTGTATGTTCTATTAATTCAAAAATTTGCCTAATTAGTAGATTTCTGTAGCTTTACAGTAGTTCCTAATCGCTAAAATGCAGTACTGTGTTTCCTGAGGAAATATCATTGAGCCAGTGCCGTGAAAACACTAAAAATACACTCTCAAATTCGTGAATTTATGTGTGAAGACTTGACACAAAGTTTAATAATAAAATTTTTCCTAGATTTGCTTTTTCATTGTTACTTGACCTATAATGGTGAAGTCAACGGCATTAGAGTTCTTTGAGTGCATCAATCTAAACTGATTCATTGTTTCACTTTAGTGTGCCTTCAAATATATAATTACTGTGTGGATTTTGCGAGGATGAAACTGCTATCATAAAATGCGAGTCGTTACACGATCGGGGGAAGTGTAGTTCAGCTTCCCCAGTACTCTTTCCACTATTTGCAAACTTTATTAAGAGATTTTGCTCATATTTCAGAGGATGACTACAAAGAAGAAGAGAAAGAAGAAACCGAAAACACTGCAGATTTTTTGGGCGAGCTTTTCCGGAAAGTGAAAAAGCAGGAAAATACACAAGCGGAGAAACGTTCTTGGGATGGTGTGGAGAGCACCCGGTGTATTTTAACAGAGACTGATGCGCTCATCAAAGATGATGAGGTAATAGCACGTGCCTAATTGCAAAAGTATTACCCTGAATGACTTTTTTGTGGAGTGTTTGGAAAAATGAGTTCTAAACTGGGATATATATGCTCAAGGCTCGTGTATTCAGGTTGGTGCACGTTAAAGATGTCTAGGTGGTCGAACTATACGGAGCCCTCAACTATAACATCTCTCATAATCATAATATGGCTTAATCAATTATAAGTAAATGGAGTCTAAATATCTTTCATGGAAATATAAAGATATTGAGAAGCTTTCAGGCTAAATGCTTACTTGATGCAGCTAGAAAGCTCTGTAATGCTGGCATATGTCATGACAGCCACTCAAATCGCAATATTTGCACTCTTTCATCAACTTTGGAAAAAAAAAAAGTCCATTAGCAAATAGATTCTAGCACTTTAAATGTAGCTTACTTCTACAAATTATGAAATCACTAGTAACAATCTTAGTAAGGCACCTTCATGTTTCATGATTTCTATAGATGAAAAGTAGAGCTCATCTTTAGATCTATCTTTGGGTTTGTTATATATTTAGATTTACTTTAGTATGAAGGAGCTGGGATATCTTCCTTTCTCCAAGTGTCTCTTAACAAGAAAAAAAGAGATTTGGTATTAGTACAGGTGTGCGCATATTCAAAAGTTTCAAATTCATTGAATATTGCATTTGTAATATTCGTACTCTATTCGATTTTTGAAGTTTCCAATATTTAAATTTTTCAATTATTTGGTCACATATATTATTGTAAAAAAACTTTCCATTTTGGGCCTGTACAATATGTGCTTCAACATTAGACCGTGCAGTGATTACTGCGACTTTGACATTGACTTTGACATTGACTTTGAGTTTTTAGTGCCTGCACTAAAGTACACGGGAGCGGGATAATGACTACAAATAAACGCGCCAGCACGTCACCGCGACAAATCTACGACAGATGAACATCTTATGGCGAATTCCACTCGTTGAGCGGGAGCAAGTTTTCTTGCAGGGTTCGCACAAGTCCTTGAAATCCTTGAAAACCCTTGAATTTGAAAAATGCACTTTCAAGGCCCTTGAAAGTTCTGGAATTTTTTGTCATCCTTGAAAATTCTTAAATTACCTGAGCAGTGCACTCCCATATCGACATTGCGACCTCCTAAATGTGGTACATCGGTGTGTGAACCTGTCAAACTCCCCATTTCTGAAGCAGTAACGCGGCGTGTTTGCACATGATCCCATTTTGCAAAAGTGCATGTGAAAAAAAAGTTAGTTTGTGGCGAGGGTGAAGCAGTGAATGGGATAGCAAGAAATTAGAATGTCACGCGAAAAAGGCCAAGCAACCCCATACATGCAACGCGTCGCTCAAGCACGAAGGACGCACGAAAAGAAAGCGCACAGGACGGGTGCTGATGAACGACTGTCATAGCTCGACACTGGAAGCGTGCTTCTAAAACAGACCAAGAACGGTGCTAGAGAAGAACACACATGTATCCACAGGATGAGTGTAAATTAACCACTCTCAAAGTTGTTACTTCTTGGTTGTTGAGCAACGTGCTGCGAGTGTCAACTGTGCACTAGCCGGCACTCTTGATGGGGTGGCAGCATTAAATTTCAAGGCTATAGCAAGCACCTTGTGGGTTTAAAAATATATTTTAAGTCACTTCCCAAGTGCGCCTGAATGCTCATTCTCCTAATAGAGGCCCATCGCAAGCGCATCCGACACTGACGTAACTCTATAGGAAAAGGCAACAAAAGGTCTAGTGACGCCACACCAGATCTGTAGTCAGCTGAGTGACTTACAGACTTCTGCCCCGTACATACCGGCAAAGCATCGCGGCTGCTGCAGGTAGCGGAGAGTGTTTTGCAGGTGCTTGTGTGGCACATGTGTGCGAGAGCTGACAATACTCAGCATGACGCGTGCAAAGCTTTGTGATCACGTGACTAAATCAGCTACACTGCTATGTTCTTGCACAACTCTGTCCCCACAAACAAGAACTTAAAATTGTCCATATCAAAAAGGCGACAAATTATATAGTGAAAATAATTGAATCTTGGTGCGTGTATCATACTTATTCGAGCGCATGGGTGCAGAATACAAGCCCGAAACCAATCATTGCAGAGGCAATAGTTCTGTTTAAGCACTAGTTCCGTTTCACACATTTCCGTTTACTGAGTCTACTGTATTTCCACAGTCCTGCATTTTGCAATGTAAGTTTGAGCGGATAATTTGAAGCGGTGGTCAGCACCAGCTTGGTTAATTGGAAAACTTACTGAATGTAGTGTGCCAATTTCCGATCCATTCCGTCGCAAATCCGCGGGAAACGGCGGCCTTAAAGAGTCACAAGGCGATGCCACGTAGCGATACTAATGAGTGGCAGCTGAAGCACCTCAGTCTCACTACTTTCAGCACAAAAAATAAAATTAACAAAAAAAGGTCTCATAATCGGCTAAAATGTGCTCCTGTGGTAAACAAGATGTGCTTCACTGCAATATAGCAGTGATGTGCAGGCAGCATGCTGCATGCTTCTTGCAACGTCAGCGTGTCATGATTTACCTATTACATACTTTCCAAGTCTCCCGCATTGTCCGGGAGACTCCCGGATTTGGGCCATTTCTTCCGTTTGTATGATCGCCATGAAAATCACCTGGAAATTGAAATTTCTGTGCGTGATGTGGCCGCATTGACAAAAGTGCAGGTCAGTCCGCTCCAGGCTTTTTGACAACCCGCCACATTTTATTAGAAACGAATTTAAAAGGCGTTCATCTAAATACAGTAGTCTCAGTAATGCAAAACCTCGGCAGATATGAATTCGTGAAATTGTCCAGCCAAATTCTATTGTGTTCATTGGGCCGAAATTCAAATGTTTCGAACACTTTCCTTAATCGTGACATGTTTAGTTTAGTACCGAAACCATCAAACGAAGGTCGGTCGAGAGCAGCGTACTCGAAGCTTTAGAAGTATGCGTGTGACCAGCGCACGCACCAATCTTCTACTGTGTGTGTGTCTGTCGTCACTACCGTTGTGAACAAAACCGCTGTCGTTCGACACGATCATGTATGGCAACGACGTGAGTGACACAACTCCGAAAGTGTGCGCGCGGCCAACGCTCGACCAGTCAAAGCGACGCTGCTTTCCGCAAACTCTGTGGACAAAACCGCGGCAGTTGTGATCATAGGTAGCATAAAACGACTTGGTTTTGAAGGCACGTAGATTGAAAACAAAACTACCATTTGCCGCAACCGCTGCGAACGAAACCGCGATTGCAGCGATGCGATGCTGATCTACGAGCTTTAAGAGCACGTGGATGACGCAGCAGTAGATAATAGGCCGTAAAGGCATAAAAAAGCTTAGAAGTGTTTTGGTGTTCCTGTCCAAAGAATCTAGTAGCGAAAAAAGCCAAAGATTTGAGCCGCACTTTCGTGGCAGCCAGCTGCACCGTTCTGTCCGTTCTGCTGCGCCGTTCTTCCTTCCACCAGTGGCACGCACCATATGCAACATTATTCCTATTATAGCATCTCGCATCTTTCATCATCAACTACAAGTACTGCCATCTAGTTTTATAACATTTTGCATCTTTTCATCAACTACAAGTACTGCCACGGAGTGAACACTGCAAGAACTAAACTAGAGATGGCTACCTACTACTACAAATACATACCTCAGAGAATGTACAGACCCACCACGCCTTAAGGAGCTTTGCCCCTAAAAGTCGGTAACCCTCCCCTTCCACCCCCCTTCCCTGCTTGGGGGTTTTACGAATTTTTCTGTTGCCAGCTTGGTAGGTATGATATAATAAAATCGACAACTTTCCAGAAAAATTCGTTATAAAGAGGATTTTGTTATATGCAGGTTCAGTATGAAAGTTCAAAAAATGAATGCCAAATTAAACAAAGGAAGAACTGAAGGCAGAACTAACCCAAAAAAGAATTACTTAGCGATAAAAAACTGCGTTGTTATTGCGATAGTGATTATATGGACACTCTTGGTGGGTATTTGCTGTCGCCACCATGTTTTGTAACAAGTCCAAATTGATAACATGGCCCCGCACATCGTAACTTATACGAACGTGTAAAAGCGCACGAGCGCTGCTGAAGCAGAGATCAAACAAGCTGGCCCATCTCTATCGCCTGGAGGGTGCATGATAACACCCCCCCCCCCCCCACGTGTTAGAACTACTGTAAAATGCTCAAACAGAAAGGAAACCACCCGAATTGAACCAGCATGAAAAAAAAAAAAAAAACCGCGAGAGTGGGCGTTTTAGTAGCAACGATGAACTTTCATATTTAGGACGTGCTATCTCGGCAAGCATCAGTGCGCACTCCACGCAGAGACTGTGTGAAAAGAGCACTTCTCTCTGGAGCGGCTGTAATTGCTTACACCAGCGTTTTGTAGGAGTTTTGTGACACCAGATCCAAAAGAGTTGGCAGCCAGCCTTATTTCGTGATGACACGGTTGTTCGCATTGAAAAAAAAAAAAAAAAAGAGCTGATTGTCGTTGGGGGCCACTTTTTGCATGCGCAGTGAAAGCATGCACGCGCGCACGGCGTCGAAAACGAAGAGTGAACATGTGTACCGCGGAAAACCATTCTGTAAAGCGCCCTACTTTTGCGTTGGCAGTGCCAACGCAAGAGTGGGTTATTATTTTTTTTTTATATTGGTTTGGAGGGAGATGATACGCCCGCGGCGGAAAGAACGACAGCACCAGCTCGTGGAGAGCAGGCCCACCTGCCCTCCTCGCGCACACCTGCGCGCAATAACGAATGTTCGCTCGTTATTTTGCGCCGGGGCCACGAGCGCGCTGCCGCTTTGCACTTCGTTGGCGGGAGGGCAACCGCGGAAGATGCACGCTCATGCCAGAATGACAAAATCCGGGGCAAAATTCCTAGATTGACCCTAACAAAAATTTGTTATACAGTCTAACATGGTTATATGAAACCCACGTATATCGAATTTTTAAAAATTGATCAATATTTGCTGAGAAAAATGCACTTTCTGGGCTTTGACGTGGCACAGCCTTCGATATAGCGGATGTTGTTGGCGATTGACGGGCATGTAGGTCTAGCGTCCATTAGGCCTACCCTAGTGCTGCGGAGACCACGAGTTCTTCATTCTTGCTGTCTTGAGCCATTGTGGGGCTCTTCCCGCAATTTTCGGCCTTCTGAAACCGCAGTCCCTCTTTAATTGTTACATTTCACCCCTTCTGAATGTGGCTGCCAAGGCAAGATTCAAACCAGCAGCCTTGAATTCATTAGGCATCAAGGCAGGCTCAAAGGTTTTTTTGTAATAAACTACTAACACATAGAAAAAAAAAAAGATGGAAAAAGTTTGTTCAGCATGTGAATTGAACCCGACATCACAGTCGCAAGCTCAACTATTTAGAACAATCATATACTTCCTGGCAAGTACAGATGGTGGCATTTCTTTTTTTTTTTTTGCAATAACAAACTTGTAATAACAAACTAGAGTAGCTGACGAGCGTACTGTTTTTAACATATATCTGGTTAAAAAATATCGCATCTCTTGGTTATTGGCTGTTCGATTTGTATTCAATTGGTATTGGAAAAATTCGATGTTTGCACACTTTTAGTTGGTAGTCGTCTAACTCATTTGAATGCTTTTACAGTAGGTGCCGTTTAATCCAAATGGCTTTCATATATTTTCTTGTAAGGGGTATTACTCATAAATCCCGAGCATGTGCCCCGCCCCCTTTCCAAGGTGAAGGATAATTGAACAGGATTTGGAGGGGGGCCTTTGCTTGGATCAGAATTCAAGATGGCAATGGAAGAACCGCTAATAAGAATGCACACAAGTTCTAATTAAATGCTTTATTAAATATGCACACCTGCACTGTTTCAATCGTCCTTGTTGGGTAAATCATAACAGTGAATAAAACAGTAAAAGGGGTAAGAGGTCGCATGTTTAAAATATTCAAAGGTGAGAGAGGGTTGCTTGCTCGGAATTTTACGGTAGCATACCTGCCAAGTCTCCCGGATTAGCCGGGAGACTTCTGGATTTTGACCGTTTCTTCCGTTTGTACGTATCATAAAAATCTCCTCAGAATCGAAATTTCTGTGTGTGATCTGGCTGCATTGACAAAAAAGCAGCTCAATTTTCTCCAGGCTTTTTGAACCTACCTTGATTTATTATAAATGAATTTCTGAGGCGTTCATCTAAACGTACAGTAGAATCTCAGTGATGCGAAACCGTAGAAGATAAAATTCGTGAAATTCCCCAGTCAAATTTCACTATGTTCATGGGGCCTAAATTGAAATGTTCCATACACATTTCTTAATCGCGGCGGGGGATACGAACTTTGGTGCGGAAACGGTCGAACGAACGCTGAGAGCAGTGTACTCGAAGCTTCGTAAGTAACGACCCTTTTGAGGGCTAACAGTATTAATAAATGAATGAAGTACGTATGTGATTCGAAAGTACAGTGCGTGTGATTGTTGTTGGCACAACCACTGTGAACAAAACTGACAAAACATGATCGTGTGTGGTGATGACGTAACTGACGGAACCCTTAAAGTGTGCACGCCCAACGGCCAACCAATCAAAGCAACGCTGCTTTCCGCAAACTCTGCGGACAAAACTGAGGCAAATGCGATCGTAGATGGCATAAAATGACCTAGTTTTGAAGGCGCGTGCGCAGCCTAGCGCACGGGTATTGCAACAGAAACTACCGTACAATGCGGAATATAGGTTGAGGCGGAATATAGGTCGACCCCCTACCTTGACCAGCAAAAAAAGAAAAAAAAAAAGAAAACTCGAAATAGTTCACAGATTCAGTCCTCCAAGCTGTCGAAGCTCTCCTCTGACAACTGCTTATCGCTAGCCGTCTCCCTTATCATGTCGTCCTCAGTGCCGTCGAGAGCGTTGCTGATGCAGCACTTCTTAAATGTGCGCACCACCATCTCTTCAGGCAGAGACCTCCATGCCTCGGAGACCCAAAGAGAAACTGTCGCGAGAGGTGGCCTGCGCAGCCGGCCTGTCGGGGTCCGCGGGTTGTCGCCAGCCATTCATTCGGTGTACAGCACACGCACACGGTCCTTGAAAGGTTTATTAAGGACAACGTCCAGCGGTTGGAGTGTTGACGTCATTCCTCCCGGAATGACGACAAGATCCGTCTTTCCTTCGCGAAGGCTCTCCTTCACCGATGCGGTCAAGTGCCCGCGAAACGCGTCCAACACGAGCATGTTCCGGTGCTGCAGGAGTGCTCCGGGCCGCCGGTTCAACACTGTCCGCATCCACTCGCTCATTAGGGCCTCGTCCATATACCCCTTCTCGTTGACGCGGACGACAACATCCCGCAGGAAGGCCTCCTTTGGCATCGTCTTCCGCTTGAAGATGATGAAGGGGGGCAATTTTTTGCCGTCGGCTGTGCAAGAAAGCATAATGGTAAAGCGCGGATGCTCGCTTCCGGTCGACAAAAGCTTCACCTTTTTTGCCCCGTGTTCGCTAACAGTCGTGGACGACGGATGTCGAACCACAACGGCGTTTCGTCGGCGTTGCCGATCTGGCCTAGCATGTAGCCATGCTACCGCCGGAGGCTGTTCACGTAGAGTTTAAACTCTTATCAATTTGTCCTCGTACGCCTCCGGCAGCTTCTGGCATATCGACGTGCGCTGTTGAAGGGCAAATCCCTTGCGTCGCAAGAAGCGACGGATCCAATAAATAGATCCCTTGAAGCGTTTCTTTGATAGACCGGCTTCACGGGTGAGCTCGACGGCTTTTGATCGAATGAGCTTCGCAATCACAGGCAGGGATATGGCACGGTACTCGCGGACGAAATCCGCCACTTTGTCTTCGAGTTCCGGGTGCACAGCTCGGCGACCGCGAAACGTCTTCCTCGCGTTACACACCGACAGTTTGGATTTTTGGTTGCGCCAGTACCTGACGCTTTTCTCGGACACTCCAAACTGCCTTTGTGCCGTCATGTTGCCATTCGCCTCCGCGAATTCAATAACTTTTCTTTTAAACGCGGCGGTGAACTGGCATCGCGTCCCGTATTCATGACTAGTCGCAGAGTAACGTCGACACTCGCTACGAACCACCCGTTCTACGAACACTAAATGAACAAGAAAAGAGGAATGGCGTCGGCCCAAAGACGCGATGTCGATGCTGATGCCCAAAAAGCATGTGACACTTCTTGTTGCCAGACGATCACTTGGTTTATGCCAAGGGCCGGTATATAGGTCGAGGGGTGACTTTTCATTGACATTTTTTGGAAAAAAATCTCCACCGATATTCCGCACTATACGGTACCATTTGCCACAACCGCCTTGCACTAAACCCCAGTCGCGGCGGCGCGATAGCGATCTACGAGCTCCCAGAGCCCGTGGTTAACGTAGCGGTAGATTAAAGTTAGTAAATACGTATAAAAAATAAGGTCAGGCAAGTTTTGCCGTTTCTGCCAAAGGAATCTAGTAGTGAGCAATGCTTTGACCCGCGCTTTTGGGGCAGCCAGATGCACCGTGCCGCCCGTTTACGTGTGTTCCAGGAAGACATACGCGAGTTGTTTTGACGCAAATTGATGCTGCTAGCTGTGTTGATCCTTTGAGACTCTCGCCTTAGTGGGAAACGCGACCCTCGTGTGTTTGGCCACTCCAAGCCACAGCGCCGATGTTGGTACTTTCGATTAAGACCTCACCCTTTTTGCGATGCTTTTTTGTTTTTTTGTCCTTGGGTATTCGTTTTTGTGTTTTTGTGCTGAAAAAAACGGGCCAAAAATTTAGCACAAGCCCCCCCTTTGTTGTGGAAATATTGCCTTCAGAATCCTTGAACTTGGCAGGTATGCGGTAGTAAAATTTTTCTATCGTTTGAGGTTGTTTGTGTGTGCCTTGACAGTTTCTTTTTTTAACATTAACAAGTGCTGAATGTGTTTAATACGATTATTTTATGCTAGATTTCGGATCTGATAAAAGACTGCTTCATCACCGGTAAATGGGGTGATGAAGAGGATGCCAAGGCTTTGTTGGAAAAAGATGGTAAGTGTAGTTTCCATGCATAATTTTTCTCGTTAGTGCCATACTGGGTGTTATCTTTAAAAAAAGAAGAAAAGCTGTTACAGAATCGGAAATAAATGCAATATGGTAGGTTCCTGAGTATTGCCGTATTTACATGATTGTAATACCCATGCCACACGGGCATAGAAAATGACATTCCGTTGTGAAAGCATTCAGTTCCCGAATGACATTTTTTTCGGCGTCGCTGCTACATGTCCAAAGCGAATGCCATTTAACTGGATGATGTCGATAGCAGCACCTTCCTCGTGAGCATTAGGTGAGTAACAATAAAAAATAAACTAGCATTTACAAGCTTCATACACATCAAATAATAAATAAATGTATAAATAAGCACATTTTGCTGCCGTTAGACTTCATTCGTTACTTTGTTTGATGACGTTGCAATCGGCCATGTAGCAACTTAAGATAAAGCTAGTCAGATCTGCAGCGTAAAAAGAAAACGGCGCCTGTCACATTTATTTCACAGCGTCTACGAGCTGAAGATACGTTTTTAAACACTTGTTTAAGTTATTAGTGTAAATAAAATACGCAAAAAGGTTCCTTCAAGTCAAATCAAATGTTGTTTTATATAATTATTTCATCAGCTGTGCCGTCGAGAGTACGCATTTCTCAGTCAAATGAGTTCTGCCGATGGCATTAGGTGACGAATGGCATTTGGGCGAATCCCATTTCATTCATCCGTGTGGCACCGCGCGAATGACATTCAATCTGAAGGCATTAGAATGTAAAGGCCATTTTCTCTGCCCGTGTGGCACGAGCAGAGAAAAGTTCGAGTTGAACTACTTCATTCGAATTGACCTACTCGAATGTAGGTCAACCATTCTAAAATTACAGGTTAAAAGGGGAGGGGGGAGAGGGAGAGGAGTACAAGTGTGTATTTCATTAAAAAAAAAGTGATGCAGGCTGGATGTCCTTGGGAAGCGGAACCAAGAAGGTCATTTGCTGTACTTCTAAAGTATGCACGGGCTGTTTACCAACCTAAAAAACCTGGAAAAGTCAGAGAATTTGGACCCTTCTGGGAAAGTTGAGGAATTTCTGGAAAATCTGGCCTGGTCATGGAAACCAACGGCAGTGTGTGTGAATGTCACCAAAATGAGCATTACCATTGATCAAAGTTTGAAGAGCCACTCCTTCGGGTGCAACTACAGTGAAGAGCTAGAAGTGTGTGAAAAAAAAGAAAAAGCAGTGCGTAACTGTTGCTTCTTAGTGTAGACGCAAAAGGATACACCTACCGAAAGAATACAAAGTTTGCTGTCATCATGCCGCCCGCTACGGGAGCCTTGTTCACAATAATAGCCATATAAAAGGCAAAGAGTATTTAAGTATACCTAAGTGCATGATGTAAGTGCCGAAATTACCTTGTTGGAAGTATGCGCCGCCACGGTAGTCTAGTGGCTAAGGTACTCGGCTGCTGACCCGCAGGTCGCGGGATCAAATTCCGGCTGTGGCGGCTGCATTTATGATAGAGGCGCAAAATGTTGTAGGTTCGTGTACTCAGATTTGGGTGCACGTTAAAGAACCCCAGGTGGTCGAAATTTCCGGAGTCCTCCACTAAGGCATCTCTCATAATCATAGGGTGGTTTTGGGACGTTAAACCCTGCAAATCAATCAATCATCTTGTTGGAAGTTTCTTATCACTCTTGTTCAGCATATGTGCAGTTGTCTGCATCTGCTGGTATTCCAGGTCTAGGCATGATGCAAGCTTTCCTTTGGCCAGAACATGCACACTTGACCAGTCAGTTTGGTGGCCTGGTAGATTTCACATGTTTAGCGAGGGAATATGAGGTCATGTGCAGTTTCCTGAGGTAATATTCGTGGTGTGTTTAACTCTTTCCTTGAAATCAGTGCTCCCACTGCAATGTATTAGTTGTCCCAATCATGGCAGCCTGGTGTAAAGAAGACAGTGGAAATTTTTGCTAGGCAACTTGTCCTTGACATTGTCTAAAGCGTTCCCTAGCTTCCATGTTTGTACATATAGTATGTTGATGTCTGTTGCTTCTACATGTCGCACAGCATATCTGACTTTACAACCACAACATTACTCATGTCGTTAAATTTGTGCATGTTTTTCTTGACCATGATTTGGCTTAGCTTGAAGGCCTTCGGGTTTGGCTAAAATTGCCATTAGCAGAGGCTTGCCGGGCTATGTCATGCCTTTTATTATTATTATTATGTACTATCGTTATTATCATTAGCGATGCAACGGCAAACGTCCTCAGCTACACACTAGTGCTTATAACTCGTGTTTCAAGGGTAGAGATGGGTAACTTCATCTAAATTATTCATTTAAGTTTCTTGAGATGGTAACATTAAATCTGTGATTACTTTTTAGCGTTATGTCCATAGAAGAGTACACACACAAAGGTAGCCCACCTGCATCTGTGTAAATTTATGGAATCAAGGGAGCCTTTGCGCCCTGACAGCTTGCTTCTTGCCCGCACATAATCAAATGTCATCGCTTTAAACGCTACCCCTAGCTTTCATTGCAGGCATCGGAGGACTTGTGTCAGGGCCCAGAGAAATAAAACATCAACATGCATGTGCTCGTTGTGAAAAAAAAAAAATTGAAAGAAAGAAAGTTATGCAGTACGGCTCCATTCTTGAGATGTTGTTGTTAGTCATGATTGATATGTGTGGTTTAACGTCCGAAAACCACTATATGATTATGAGAGACCCCGAAGTGGAGGGCTCTGGAAATTTTGACCTCCTGGGGTTCTTTAACGTGCACCCAAATCTGAGCACACGGGCCTACAGCACTTCTGCCTCCATCGAAAATGCAGCTGCCGCAGGCGGGATTTGATCCTGTGATCTGCGGGTCAGCAGACGAGTACCTTAGCAACTAGACCACGGCGGCGGGGCGGTTGTTTTTAGTAATTATTCGATGTAAGATGCACAGAATACGCGAGTAGTTGTATTTTTTTTTTTTTTCAGAAAAGTATATACTAGAGGTGTGCAATTTAAGGGGATGCAAATCAATAGCAAATACAGCGATCCAGGTCACATCAGGTCCATTCTAAATAGTGAAGTCAGTAAATGCAGGTCGATCTAATCCAATCCACATCCTAAGTGGCCTGGGCTGTAACCATTATAGTGAACTAAAATGTATTTCAGTGGCTGAACCGTCGGGACTCAGGCATCCATTTACAGAGATTCCATGAGATTAAGCCACATTTACATTTTCTGGCAGCTTTGGCTGCATTGTAGGATTTTTGGGGGCTCCTTCAAGCTTATCTGTGATTAATTTTAACTCGTGTGTTTGCTTTCTGGTTTTTCCAAACATTAAACAGCCAACTTACTTACTCTATGACTTATAGGTTTCATTTTGGCAAGATATTCATTTTTTCATATTTACCCCACATGCTCAGAACATTCTCAGCACTTGTACATTTTTTTACTTATTTTATAGGAGTGCCTGGTTTTTTTTTTTTACCACTCGAGGGTCTGTTCCCTAGTGCACACAGTTCTCCAAGCAGACGTAATGGTCATGGAATTTGCTTTAAATCATCATGGAAAACCTAGAAAAGTCAGGGAATTTTGAAAAAGCAAACTAGTAGACACCCTGATCACAGCTCAGAGCACTTCAATCGCTGTTATTTTTTTCCTTCCTAGGTTCCTATAAGGAAAATTTGGGAGCAAGAGAAAGCTAACCCTTTGTTTACAACTTCTCTTACCGTTATGTTTCACTCATGTCACATGTTATTGTCTATGGAGGCTGGCAGGGCAGCATGGTCGTTTATTAGCCCAAGAAAACTGCTATTTCAAACAGGCATCATTAATTACAGACTGGATATTGCACCGACATGTTTCGGAACCAGTATGTCTAAATCTTATTACAGCAGGGAAAATTGCAACCGAGCAGCTTCATGTCTGGTTTACAACCCCTCTAAGAGTGAAGCTCTTAAAGCTCGAGGCATAACAATGGGGCGTCCGCAAAAAGCTCACAGCTCTGTCTGTTATCAGCCACACCGACGGTTGGAGTGAGTCCATGCAGCCTCCACGTCGAGTTTCCCGGCATAGTGCGAGCCTATTATAAAGGCCTGTGCTTCTACCAGGGGTGCCACAGCCAGCTTTGCATCTTAGTTCTGGTGCTGGATATTCTTGCATTTGGACATAATGGCATGATCTGTGACAGGCTGTGGTTCGACTATGTCTATGCCAAGGAAAGATATAGCTAGCATCAGCCAAGAAGGCAACATTAAGCCCCAAAGATCAACCGGTGGCTTTACTGTTTGTTAAGCTTTACACTTCTAGTGTAAACTTCTCTCCTTTTTCCTTCTCTCTCTCTCTCATCTTCTTCGATTTACCCTTTTCCTTATAATTTTTCTTGTTTCTTTACACTAATTACTGAAGTAATCAATGTTCAACTCCTTAACATGCTACTTGTCACAGCTCCTTAATTGTTTGGAAAGCTTGTTACTTAACTAGAAATTGGTATTAATAACAACAAACTATAATTTTATTAAGGGTGCTTTTTGTCAGCAAGACTTTCAAATGTGATGTATTTATGTTCTCTCAAAAACTTATTTATTGCATTTATTTCTCTAGAGGAACTCTATGGTGACTTCGAAGATCTAGAAGCAAAAGAAAAGGAAGACCAAGAACAAGTGGAGCCTGTGGTTGTGGAACAAAGTGGTGAGATATAAATAGTGTACCTAGGAAGTGTCTACATTGTTCAGCCTACCTATAGGCTACTATACATCATATTTCAGGTGCGTTCAAGTGCTGCCATCTTGGACTGATAACGCTGTAAAGTGCAGTCCACTTATAATGATATCTACGTACAGTGTAGACAACTTATAGCATAGCCGCTTATAGTGCGGTACCTCCGCTAGTGCATAGCAGCTTATAATGCAGTCTTTTTCAAATCCCGTTCGTTCTCCCTTAGAAGCTCATTTATACGCATACCACTTATTGTGCAGTCCCCAAGATGAAAGACTGGTAGTAATGCGGTTGCCAAAAAATATTTGACAAACGCTGTAAGGGTGGGCGCGTCTGAAAGGAGGCGCAGCGCGCTGTGCGCCGCTGGGGAGTGAGCAAGCAACGAATTGTTATGGAGGAGGAAGGGATGTGGAGTGATCGAACAAATCGCGGCGGGAAGAAAAAGAAAAGGAATAAAAAAGACCCCGGCACACTGCAGGTTCGCTGAATAAAAAAGGAGGGCAGTTGCCTCAGCGACAGATAAGCGTTTGCACCGGCGTAGACGCTGCTACATAATATGCGTCGCTAGCGTGGCTCTGACCGCACTCTGTTGAACAGGGCACAGGCGATCCTGTCCTTATCAACTGCACTCAACAGTTTCCTGTCGGGAAAAGCTTCGTCGTTATCGAGCTTGGTCGTTATCGAGCCTACAAATAACGCGTTTGCCACATGGTTTGTAAATTGAAAACCTTTTACGGCTTTGTGATGCGAGCTTTCGCCTTTGCTGCCACTGCGCCGCCTTACATAAGTTTGGCGGGTTTTCGTCGTGCTTGATCTCTCTGCTGATAGCGCAAACTTCATATTATGCAGGCTGTTGTTGGTTCAGAGCTTGAGTGGTGTCTTTTCGACGCATGATCTTCATGTCTTGGATGAACTTCCCACGACAACAAACCGAACAGCAGGCTAGGCCTAATCGGTGTTGGTTGAGCTTCAGCAGCAGTCACGTGCTGTGGGTTGGTAAAAAATCAACGAAGCTCTTTGCGGTGTTGAAACACGGAAAGCACAGATACGACATAGACCGGTGGTCGCGCTTGAAGAAAAGGAACACACATTGCTAATGAGAACGAGGGTGGCACAGAGTAGTACAGTAGACTCGCGATAATTCAAACTCTGATAATTGATACTCTTAGTTGATTCAAACAAAATTGAATTTTTTGGTTGGTCCTCTATTCTTTCAACGCATTTAAAAGCTTCTTAATTCAAACTCCATCATTCTGTTAATTCATACTTTTTGCAGTTCCATACCTGAAAATATCTGCTGGTTTCCCACTATCATTTAAAAATTAGCATGCTTTATAACTATAACAGTCTAAAAATGAAAAATAAGCACCTCAGGCTTTCAAGCAACAAGGCTTTGCTAGTATAGAAATGTTTGAAATGAAGCACATGCATGGTAAACCGCGATGCTTCTCGACTGGTATAGAGAGCTTTGTGCTGAAGGCACATATTGTAAAGAAGCAGTTGGCAATTCACGATTTCTTTAAAAGGTCTGATCAGCGGTAAATGGACAATAAACTTCTAGACCTTACTCCTCTGCTTTCTGTTCATGCGAGCAGTTAGGGTTTAAAGTTTCTGGAACCCTTTTTCTATCCGACTTCAAAATATGTACACTGAAAATCGCGCAGAAGTGCTTCGGAAGATTCGTTTCACCCACCTAGGTAGCGAAAATATTTCTGGAAATCGCGAGAGAACAGCGATTTTCGAAAAATTATAGCTTCGCGATGGTGTGGCCTTCAGCCGGCTTCGCCCCGCCACGGTGGTCTAGTGGCTAAGGTACTCGGCTGCTGATCCGCAGGTCGTGGGATCAAATCCCGGCTGTGGTGGCTGCATTTCCGATGGAGGCGGAAATGTTGTAGGCCCGTGTACTCAGATTTGGGTGCACGTTAAAGAACCCCAGGTGGTCAAACTTTCCGGAGTCCTCCACTACGGCGTCTGTCATAATCAAATGGTGGTTTTTGGGACGTTAAACCCCACAAATCAATCAATCAATCAATTCAGCCGGCTTCTTAGGCTCATCGGAAAGAGCATTTCTCCTTGTTTAACTTTGCCGCCTCAACTGGCTCCTCCATTTAAAAACAAGCGCACAAAAAGCAAATGTTTGAAGGTTGTTTCGACGCCCTTGATTGGCTGTGGCCGGCATGTTGCCTCAGCTCGCCTCGCCATTGGCCCTGATGCTCGCTCCGGGAGATTGTCGTCTGCTGCTTGTGCGTCGCAAGGACATGGCTCTCGAAAATCGCTACTTTGTTACGTTTTCAGGGCTCGATGATCACTTAAGATATAATTACGCGTTAAATAGGAGCCGTAAGCGGATGCGGGATCAAGTTACTACGAGCGGGTGCGCGGTCTACGAGCGCGGCGCGTCATCGGAGTCGTCTTTAGCCCTAACTCCACTGACAGCGAGACTGCAGGCAGGTGACGTGCTTCTTCGCAAGAAATGAAGCACATCACTCGCTAGCTCCTCTGAACCACGCACGGGTATTTTGCGCATCGGCAGCGGACCACACAGTCAAGCTCGGCACCCCCCCCCCCCTTTCACTGCCAAGGATTGCTCGGAACAGCGGCTAGCAGTTTCACGTGTCGTCACTCGAAAATATGTTGCCAAGCGTAGTGCACGCCGATTTTTGTCCCTGTAATTACACATTTTGCGCATCGTCACCGAACGCCGCCGGCAAGTGCATTAGGCGGCTGCACTGTCCACGCGGCCGCGCACTCCACGGTCATATGGAGTGCTATCAATAAGCTTTTTTGATGCGATTTAGACATGTGTGATGTGATTTATACGTGCTTGGAGCCGTGCTTGGTATCGCCATGAACGTCTACGAATGTTCTGAGGCAATGAAAGCCTCGTAGAGAAGTGTTTCCACGACTGGCTGTATGATGATGCGTTTCACGGCTAGAGCAGCAAAATAGCATGTATGAATCAGTGGCACGAATTTTTATATGCCCGTTTCGCATCATTAAATATACTGCTAAAAATTCCTGTGCCGCCAGTCTTCTGTCCATAACTTTGTTATTTGGAAAGAAGCCATAGGCCGTCATGGTGGGACCCATTTTTCTGATGCAATAAACCTCTCTCCAAATAAAGAAATGTTCAGTGAATATTTGTAATCAAGTACTTAATTATGCTAATTACAACTTCGGCACAAGAAATATGTAATAATTTCAGTATATGGTCTTATTCAATTACAATCTTTTCTGTCATGTCTATCACACCACTCCTTCAGACAAAGAACTTGGTTTGAAATCCATACTTGTTCTTTGTAAAACGTGAAAAGGAAATTATGGGGAAAAAAAAAAGGGCCAACCAAGGCACACTGGTCAGAGACCAGATAGCTGAGAAGTCAAATATCACAAGACATTCAAGATCACAATCTTTAGGTGTTTTAGAGACGTAAAAAGAAGTTGAAACTTTAAACGCAGTTTTCTCAATACTGTTTTTTTTAGCATTCATTATACTCAGCGCATGGAGCAGATATCTGGGCAACCACTGTACAGATTTTGATTCCGTTTATTTTGTTATGCTCCTTGAACTGTGCTTCTGGGGGCTGCGATCTTAGTTTTTCATTTTACTCCTTAATGAATTTTTTATAGAGTTTCTTGTTTGTAGTGCAAGTTTAAGTTTGCTCATTGCAGTGCCACTGGAGAAAACGTTAACTACAAGTTTTAGTGTTACAAATAAATTATCTTGAGAATGCAGCCCCCTTCTACATACATTTGGCTATGCATACAGTAATTACCAACCATTTTTGTCATTTTATATATCCTCCAGCCCCTCCTCAAATTCAATTGAAATATAATTTGTCTCTCATTAAGTATTTGTGCTATCGCCACGGTGAGGCCATGCTTAGTGTCTGTGCCAATTTTCATCATCTGACCAGAAACAAGAAAGTTCATTCTCAAAGGCACGTCCCCCCTTAAATGTGATAAAATCAATGCCTAATCATAATGTGTGGTGTCACCTCACCCAGAGTCATCTATCTCAGAGCTTCTGTTAATTCAAACATCTTGATAATTCAAACAAAATTCAGAAGTTCTTTTTCAGTTTGAATTACCGAGATTCGACTGTGGTTTCCTTGAAATTAGGTGTGCGCCTGTGAAATCGAAGAATTGGCATCTTTCAGCGTGCAAAATTTCGTACTTGATTCAACATAGTTACGGTGTAATGCACGTAATTGAGGCGGTCTGAGAAGTTCGCGAATTTTTGCAATGATGTATCATTTGTTAGAACTCCCCTTTTGCGTTCATTTTGTTGGCAATGCATGTCCTTGGACATTCCATTTTTTTCCCCGCATGCTCTGATTCTCGGACACCAAAATTGTCGTCCAGACCCGACACATCTTTCATTTAAGCGCTGACCACAACTTTGGCACCACTTTGGATTGTAAAACGCTTTGCAGCCCTCTCCTGGCAACGCTTTGGAAGTTCGGAAGGAACGCTCCTGCTCCTGTCGCTACTTCGTAAGCGGCGCAGTTGAGACATTTCTAGAGGGTGTGAACGGGATGTGAGGCACCTTGCAGCACATGCCGTTGGCATGAAGAGCCATTCTTGGCATTCGCTGTAGAGGTATTTAATCCCTGTATCCGATATCGCGTTACCCGAGCATCATAGTAAATGGCTTATTTTACCATAGAAAGCATACAAAAGTGCACAGTGCAATCATTGTGTATTGTTATATCCGATATATTGTTATGAACGATATTGTTATAAGTGGAGTCGACTGTAGTTTTATATCCGTATCAGATAAACAATCAGTGCTATGGTAAGCTCGCACGCATGAAAATGCTTGGGCCGGTTTGTTCAACGTCTTATGACCATGATAATTTCATATTATGACATAGAAAACCGGCAGAGCTATCGCTTATCAGTCCAAGATGGCAGTGCTCATGAATAAAAATAAAAATGCATATGCTCAAATTTTACGATAACAAAGTTGCATCTTACATGAAAATAAGTTTAGTACCAACATCTGAAAATTCGCTATAAAGGTACATTTTTAACCCTATAGTTTTGAAAGACTATTTTTCATCTATTTCGTTATATCCAGGTTCGTTAAATCGAGGTTTGAATGCACAGGCGATTCCCGCTACAACGAAACTCACGGGGCGCGGAAAATATTTCGTTGAAGCGAGAATTTCGTTGTAGTGAAACCGAAAAAATATAGCTGATCTGAGCTAGCAAAACAAAGGAACGCTTATTCTTAAAATTAAAAAAGTGTCCGCTGCTTTTTATTCTTTTCCAGCAGCGTCACGACGCAACTCAGAGTCATGCATAGTGAGGCCAAGGTGAAAACCACGCTGAAACAACGCCTCTAACTGCTTTCGTGAACGTACCAAACAGTTGCATTAACACGTTAACAGCAGCAGCTGTCCCCCGTCAAAGTGTATTTGACAACGCCGAGATGGAGGCAGGGTATCATGGAGCGGTGATTTTTGCTTTATTCTATGCCATTCTTATCATCCATCACTTGCGGCTGGCTGATTTGGTTGATAATGTGGACGAACAGCTGATCTGATTAGGTACAACACTGGAGAAGCGTGAATAAAATAAGCATTGGAATCAGAAAAGGTATCGCTCCGCGAGTGCACCCAGAAGCTGCGGCAGCTGCGCGAAGGAAACCATGAACTGAGCGACTGAGCTTCAGCTTCGAATCGTTTGCGGCTCGAAAGCAAGCCAGTGGCAAAAGCAGGTTTTGTGAGGCAGTCTCATTGCCATCGCTATCGAGCAATGGCGGGGCCCATGCTTGCTAAACAGCGGCAGTTTCTGACTTTAGACGCAGGCAATGCAGTACAAATACAGAGAAGCTGTATGAAGGCATATCGTCTCATTGTAACTGCTTGTTATTTTCAAAAATAGTTGTAAAGCTTAGAATAAACGTGCTTAAGCATAGTTGCAGGAACTCCTGCGAAAGCAAAACGCAGCATGCACAAGTCGCCAGAAAGGCTACTGGCATCTCTATCAATTCTCAGCGTTACTGGATGAAAAGGCTCATCCTTGTTCAGAGCCTTTCAGGTCGAAGAATATTGGTTATAAAATGAGTATGTGTTTTTGGGATTGACTACTGCAGCTATGAACACTACGTAGGGTAAGCTTTCTGTCACGCCGAAAAAACCTGGGTCGAAAAAAATCAGTTGTCAGTCCCTTGAAGCTCGATATTCTCATAGCTTTTGATGACAGCACACTAGTAAAGGGCTTTTTTTCTGAACTTGTACTGCTTATCTTGGTCTGATATTTCACCATGTCGTCAAACATGGTCTCAGGATTGTAGGAAAGGATTAACTGTAAAAATAAACATTTTGACCAAATTTACCATTGCTATTGCCAGGTCTCCCTTCAATACAAAAAAAAAAAACAATGATTGTTATAGCTTGCCAATACAGTAAAACCTCGTTAATTCGAAGTCGCCAAGGCCCGCGAGAAATCTTCGAATTAAGCGGGTTTTCGAATGAACAGAACATCAAAAAAGTGGGATTCAAAGAGCTGAGAACTGTTCAAAGTTATCAGTGCTCGACGTTTACTGTGCCGGCTAGCTTTGGCTCCAACAGTTATGTTTTTCAGCAATACCTGGTCTTAATTTTGCCACGAACATGGGGGAACAGTGGGCCTTGCTGCTGCCACTGAAAAAAAAAAAACAAAAAAAAAAACATGCTTTCGTGATCAATTGAAATGTGTGAAATGTGCGTCACTGCAACATAGTAGTGTCATGCGGGCAGCATGTCACCTGCACCTTGCTGCGTCAGCATGTCGTGATGCGACCATTCGTTCATTCTTTCCGGTATAATAAGGAATTTAATAATGGCCAGTGTGGCGAAACTCACGATGTGTTTTGGCTGGAAAAAATGATCTTTGAAACTTTTGAACTTAGTTTTCGAAGTAGGTGTTGCTGGCACGAACTCCACCAGCAGTGCAAAGGCGCAAATCGTTAGAGGAACCGGCAATCGGAGGTTCACATACATTGCGAATTCTGCCAAAGTGTCTTTTATTAATGTCTTTACGATCCCAGAATAAATGAGTGAACTATGACCCGCTGACGTTGCTAGAAACATGCGATATGCTGCCTGCGTGTCATCGCTGTGTTGCAGTGAAGCACATTCAGTTTTTTGCAAGCACATGTTTTTGTTGATCACGGGACCGTTTTTTTCTTTTCTTTTCTTTTTGCGCTGGAAGTAGCAAAGCTGGGGTGCTTCAATCACTACTCATTAGTATTGCTACGTTGCATTGCTTTGTGGCTGTCAAAGGCCATCGTTTCGGCGAATTTGCGTCAAAATCTGGATGTGAAACTGGCACATTGCACCCAAAGCTTTCGAATTAACCGGAATGGTGCCAGCCGCCACTTCAAATTATCCACTCACACTTGCATTGCAAAATACAGGACTGTGAAAATTCTTTGAATTAAATGGGATTTCAAAATAACTGAGTTTGAATTAACGAGGTTTTACTGTAGCTGGATGCTATGCTGCTTTCACACAAAAGCTGTAAATTTTTTAGGCTGTTGTAATTTGTTAGAAAGAATGATATGAGGGATATTATTTAAGGGGGATTAGCAGATTGATATCAATTTAGAATGGGCCACATGGTGAACAATTCTTTCTGTAAGTTGTTGGGCTGGTGTTTTAATCTTGGGACATTGAGCAGAGTGGGCTGTGAAAAATAATTTCAGCTTGTCTTTCATGCTTTGCTGTGCAGGAGAAGAGTCAAGTGGCAGAAGTAAGAAGCTCAGTCGAGAAGAACGTGAGGCACAGATAGAGGCCAAGCGACAGGAGCGCAAGCGAAAGCTTAAGGAGGCCTTTGACAATGAATATGACCATGATGATGAAAAAACCCATTTTGATGAGCTCAAGAAAGAATTCAGCGAGCAGGCACAGGTATGATAAGATCAAGGGTTGCCCAGCAGTGGTTGCCGTGTATTTCTCAGAAACACAGCGAAATCACAATGGTGCATATTTTTCTGGTTACAAAGATACAGCCTACATACCTGTTTTTCCCTGCTGCATTAATCCTACCAAAAAGTTATTCTGGAAGACTTGGTTATTCACTCAAGCCTATGGGGGATCGAATTGGCGAGCGCTACGCCACGCTCTTGGAGTGAAAGGACACAGTAGACACGGTCAGAACAAATCGAACGATGCACACATATTTATTTAACTACATTTGAACGACGATATCGTCAGCCGAATTATTATAGCATAAATCGTGATCAACACGCTTGGACATCCTTACACAAAATTACTATACACTCAAACAACATGGAAAACACAATAACACACCCAAGGCGGCGTCGCCAACGGCTGACTTACCACGAGGGCCCCCGACGCGCAACCCGTGGTGCCACGCACCGGGGACCCACGCTAGAGACAACCATACGCGGCAACCGCCACGCGCAGAAGAGAGACTCGCTCAACTCTCTCGCCCGCCACCAAGGCTTGCCTTCCGTCAGGAGTCATCGCTGGTGCTACCACTCTACCAACCATGATAAAGATGATAGTGGTGATCACCGCTCGCGTACACAACGCCACCTATCGCTCAATAGCCGTGACCCCAAAATACGGCTTCTGCGCGAAACACGTGCGCGGTGCAAACAACTTTACAGGGAGGTGTCAGCACATTTAGGGGCGAAGCTCCTTAGGGCGTAGGCTGTGCGTCCCCTGTAGCCTGTATGTAGCCACCTCTAGTTTAGTTCTTGCAGTGTTCACTAGATGGCGGTACCGTCCCCTGTATGTAGCCACCTCTAGTTTAGTTCTTGCAGTGTTCACTAGATGGCGGTACCGTCTCCTGTATGTAGCCACCTCTCGTTTAGTTCTTGTAGTGTTTACTAGATGGTGGTACTTGTAGCTGATGATGAAAAGATGCAAGATGTTATAAACTAGAAAGTGGTACTTGTAGTTTATGAAAGACGCGAGATCTTATAAAATAGGAATGATGTCACATATGGCGTGTGTCATTGGTTGAAGGCAATCGTTCGATTTAGTGCGGCGACGTACGCTAGGGGGAGCGTTGTAATAAAATCCGTTCGCTGTTGGCGCGCGCTCGGAGTCGCCGGATGGATAAGGCTGCACAGCGGAGAGAGCGCAAGGCGGCAGCAGCGCGCGCTCGCAGACAGAATCCCGATGTGCGAGCGCGCGAGGCAAGGGACATCGCAAGCCATCCATCGTCTAAGAACAAATAAAAGTTGATTTGTGTATATACACACACAGCGTTTCTCACGTCTTTACATGATGATCGACTGGGTGAACTACACGGAAGATTCACAGTTTACCGATGAATCCCTCCGGAGCTTCGCCCATTCATCATCATTCACCCCGTGAATATGCCGTAATTTTTATTTCATTTCTCCAACCTTAATCAAACCATATTCGGAAAAACAAAGAAATCAGCTACACAAGCTCTCGCAAAACAAAAATGACACCACATGTCCTTTTATAATGTCCGTGCACCACGACACTGCCGTCGGTCGACACTGCTGCACTGTCCAGCTCGACGACTTCACCTCAGTACCGGTCCCGCAACAGCAACGTTGCCGTCGGTGCGATGATTCGTCACTCGCACCGACACGTCTTCTGTTTGCGACCAGCACTCACGAGGGTGCCGGAATGCTGGCAGTTGCGCAGGTCCCAGGCATGTCCATCGCCCGACCTTACGACCGCATACCTGGCCAGCGGCGCTGACGGCGTGCAGAAGACAGTCAGCCGTTGATTATATCACTCCCACTGCATACATTCCAAAACTCTCAACAGAAACAATGGAACAGGGCCTAGGGAAGGGAGCTTCGGGCTTTTCGCCCACGTGGTACGATGGTCAGTACTGCTAGCTAATACATCGGCGGCGGCCAAGACGCCCAGCTCAAAAATAAAGGTCACTTTTCGTAATTCGTGCATAGCAAGATAAAAAGTGAGGGAAGCAGAGTGCAACACCTTGACACCACGATCCACCCAGTTGTGCCACGTGCGACAGGCGGCTGCACAGAGCCTTAGGCCTAATGAGTCGTTCGACAACAACCGGCATCCACCCAGCACTCAGCCTAGGCGCAGAAAAGGCAACCACAAGGAGACATCCTGTCTAAGGTGGCCCTATCGCTCGCCGCACACAGCAGCTTACCCAGCGATCGGCATGCACCATCCTGAACGGTGTTACGACGTCCTGGCTTCGAGCCGCAATACCAAACAACAACGACGCCCGACTCCCCGAGCCCGAAAGAGATGGAATAAGCTATTTACAGAAAATAAGACCACCCACAAGGCTTCCGTACTCACTCCCTTCGGGCGTGGCCTACAATTCACGTGCTCTAAGCTTTGCTCACCCCAGGATGCAGACTGCATGGCTATTGCACCAACTGAACAACGTTCTTCAAAACCACCAACAACATAGTAAAAAAAACACACTTGTGAGCAGAAAAAAAAACTCGAGTGCCGGCAAGTTCAAACAGGTCACAAATACCGATCTCCTTGCTCTCTACAAAGCACTCCGCCGACGCTAACAAAGAAGTTCCCCTAGGCCTACTCTACACCAGCTCTAACAAAAGCTTGCACCGAACTGCAAAAACTTTCGTCCGATACTCCAAGAGCCCCCACGTTGGGCAGCCAGTTTGGGGTATCGACATGGCGAGCGCCACACTCTCGAAGTCAACGGACACAGCAGACGCGGTCGGTCCAAACCAACCAAACAGACACATTTATTTAACTAATTCGAAAAAACAATATTGTCAGCCGAATTATCATAACATCAATCATGATCAGCACGCTTAGACATCCTTACACAATATTGTCACGACGTCAAAACAGAGGTCTTGCCGCAGAGATTGAGACACCAGAAGCAGGTCGATCTTTTTAACTAGAACACGCAAGCTAGTTCTTCTTTTTCGTCCATTTCGTAGTCCTTCGTGGCACATGCACAATTGCCATCGTCTTTCTTGAGCAAGCACGTGACATTTGCCTCCCTCCGAAAGAAGCATCGTCCCGATGCGCAACTTAGGTGCTCTACAAGGCGTATGAAAGTGGTCGTACGAAAACGGCAACCGGGAGCTAATTAACTCAATAAATACGGTTTCATACGCACGACGTGCACGACTTCGGGCAAATGCTTTTGGCGCTTAGAACTACGATCAGTGTCGGGAACAACTTCGTAGTTCACGTCATTCAAGCGTCGCGTGACGCTGTATGGACCAAAGTACCGTCTTAGCAGTTTCTCAGACAGTCCACGTCGACGTATCGAAAATCCAGACCCACACTTTGTCGCCTGGTGTGTAGCTAATAAACTGGTGTCGTGTGGCGTAGCGTTGTGCATCTTGATGCTGCTGATGACAGATGCGCACGTATGCGAGCTGTCTGGCTTCTTTGGCACGCTGAGTGAATTCTTCGGCGTCTACATGGATGTCGTCACACTCATGCGGCAACATGGCGTCCAACGTTGTCGTGACTTCGCGACCATAGGTCAGACTGAACGGTGTCATTCCAGTGGTTTCTTGTCGAGTGGTATTATAGGCAAAGGTCACGTACAGCAATATCTGATCCCAGTTTTTATGTTCCGTGTCAACGTACATGCTGATCATGTCTGTGACAGTCCTATTGAGGCGCTCCGTCAGTCCGTTTGTCTGCGGCTGGTATGCAGTTGTTCTCCGGTGAGCTGTACCGCTGAGTCTGAAAACCGACTCCAAAAGCTCTGCGGTGAAGGCAGGTTCTCTGTCTGTGATCACTGTTGTCGTGGCGCCATGCCGAAGGACGATGTTCTCGATGAAGAACTGAGCGGCTTCTGCTGCTGTGCCGCGCTGCATAGCTTTAGTCTCTGCATAACGGGACAGGTAATCAGTGACCACAATAATCCATCTGTTTCCTGTTGTGGAAGTTGGAAAGGGACCCAGGAAATCCATTCTAATCTGGGTGAGCGGCTTTTCTGGTGCTTCGACAGGATGTAAAAGACCGGCTGGCTTACTGGGAGGCGCTTTGCATTTTTGATAGTCGGTGCAAGTTCGCACGTGATGGTTAACAGCAGCAGGTAACTTTGGCCAGTAGTACATGCATCGCAGTCGGCACAATGTTCGGGTGTAGCCTAGATGACCAGAAGTTGCTTCATCATGGCACGCTTCCATAATTTATTTTCGAAGAGAGGCAGGCACGACGAGCAAGTGCGGGTTACCGGTTGGTGAGAAGTTTTTCTTATAGAGAAGTTTTTCTTATAGAGAACATCGTTTCGCAAGCAAAAAGATGGCAGTGCTCTAGCAAATAACCGCGGCACGTCTTCACGTCGTCCTTCTAAATATTCAATGAGTGGTAACAGCTCAGGGTCACTGCGCTGCTCTCGTGCAATAGTGGCCGTGTTGACAACTCCCAAGAATGCCGCGTCGATGTTTTCGTCATCAGGAGCGACAGTTTCCACTGGGGACCGTGAGAGACAGTTGGCGTCGGTGTGCCTCTTCCCAGATTTATAGACGACGGTCATGTCAAACTCTTGAAGCCTTAGGCTCCAGCGCGCCAAACGACCAGATGGATCTTTAAGGTTGGTAAGCCAGCACAAAGAGTGATGGTCACTAACAACCTTGAAGGAGCGGCCGTACAAATACGGACGAAATTTGATGACTGCCCACACCACGGCGAGACACTCCTTTTCGGTGGTCGAGTAGTTCTCCTCCGTGCGAGAGAGAGTTCTGCTGGCGTAGGCTATTACTCTTTCACAGCCGTCTTGCCACTGCACCAGAACGGCCCCTAGACCTAAATTACTGGCGTCAGTGTGAAGTACTGTAGGGGCGTCCTGGTCGAAGTGCGCCAGGGCTGGAGGTGTTTGCAGGCGTTGCCGTAGTTCATTGAATGCCATTTGCTCCTGCTCACCCCAAAAGAAGGGGGCGTCCTCACGTGTGAGTCGTGTCAATGGCGCC